CACTTTTCCACCGTTGCGCAATTGTTGCAGTCGAGGGATGCTTGCCACTTGTGTGCAATGGTGCTCTCTATACTAGATTACCATAAATTAGATCACAACGGACCTGTAGAATTTATGATATGCAAAGATAGGACAAGAAAACCGCCCGGCCACTTGCCTCTGATCCTGGGTCTAGGTGGTACCAAATATGTTCAGTATCGATGGGCGTCAATGTACCTGAAATGTTTCGATGGTAAGCAGGTGTTTCCAAACTTTTAGCGAAGCCATTTGACAATTTAGGATCGAGTAACCATGAGTTCGACGCGCCAGAACAAAAGCAGAGCGTACCGAGCCAGCCCATTGCCAATTTGGATCAGATCAATACGTGGCTCAATGCTTGTATCCGAACGCACGGGAGCTGTTCTAGCTGCGCCTCGAGCTTGTCAGCGTCATCCCAGCGGCCGACCCGACTACTAGAACTCATATCCGACGGCGTGAGATTACGATGCGATACCGGTACCATTACAGACCTACAATACCTTACACTCAGCCATGTCTGGGGAGATGCGCCCCATCGTCTTCGCCTTACACTATCAAGGCTTGACGAATTCCAAGTCGCAATACCATGGTCGGAACTACCGGCCATATTCGTCGAAGCCTTGAGAATCGTTCGACAGACTGGCTTCCGCTACCTGTGGGTGGATGTACTGTGTATTATCCAAGACTCACCATCGGATTGGGAAGTTGAATCCGCCTCAATGACTTCAGTCTATAGCAATGCGATCTGCAGCATAGCATTCTTGTTCCCGCCCGGAAGAGATCTCATCAAAACACGGGAAGACCCGAGGACTATGAGCCCCTGCGTCATTCGCAAAGCGACTAAGACCAGCGAAGGGATTTATATAATCGCTTCTGCGGGACGGTATGTGTCTGGTCCCGCAGCTCCCACAGAGCCCGAGATATTCACATCTAGATTCAATTACCACGAATGGCCTATATCTCAGCGAGCATGGACGTTCCAGGAGCATCTTTTAAGCCCACGCACAGTATTTGTTGGACACCAAACCCTCATGTGGGAGTGCGTGGAGGAGTTCTGTGATGAGCTGGCGGGCTCATGGCTTCCAAAAACTGAAACCCGGCTTTACAACCGTAGTGATGGCTACGAAAGCCGGAAGATAACGCAGAAATCGCATCTGCTAGCAGGTCATGTTGCTCACAGACGTAATACTCCAAACTCGTTTGCAGACTACGAACACGTCCTAGAGTATTTCCGAAACTGGAAAGACCTGGTTTGGGAATACAGAGCGAGAGATCTTACCGTCCCTAGCGATAGGCCCGTTGCCTTTGCTGGTGTCGCCAGAGCTTTCCAGGCTGAAGCAAGAATTACGTATCTTGCTGGTATCTGGGCGGAATCTTTTCCCGATGGTTTACTGTGGTATATACGTGCTGAGCCTTCGTGGGATAAAGATGGGAAGAGATTGCCAATATCCAAATCAATACGTGAGCATGGATCAAAAACGGTGCCTTCTTGGTCGTGGCTCTCGAGCCATCTTTACGTGGATCACCCGCTCAGGTACTTCTGTCGTTACGAATGCTGGCCTCCGGAAAGTGATGGCGGCGGATGCCAATTCAGCGACTTACTGTTCTTAGCGAAGCTCTCTTACTTCCAGTGGTCGGGCTGGCCTGTTAATACGATGCCTCCAGCAGCATACCACGACTTCTCTGGACTGCAGATCACCCTACAATTACCTACGTTCGAAGAAACCCGAATAGAAAGCGACGATCCTTACGACGCTGTTTGTGTTTGCTTCAAGGAGAAGCTTGCATCTTTCTACGTCAGGCCCCCTGAATGTGCAAAACACACCTGGACTACCTTACAGTGTGATGATATCGAATATCACACCCAGCCCCCAGAGAGAGTTCTACTGGCTCTTCTAGTTGAGACTCGGGTTCCTTACTATCCGCAAAGCATTTTAGCAGGCTTAGCGCTGAATCCCGGTGAAGAAGAAGGTACATGGAAACGTATTGGATATTGGAGCGCTCAAATAGATCTACCGGTAGACGAGGTGCTCGATACTAAGCAGACTGGTCCAGGGTACAAGCATACGTCAAGACAGTGGCAGCGAAGCGATCCATCGGTTTTCTTGCGCCTCGAAGGAGTCAAGATGGAAAGACTTACTTTGGTCTGAACATCTCGTAGCGTCTTGATAGAGATCTGTGTATCTAGCAGCCGTCGCACGACAGGCAATGCAATGCACTGTAAACACGATAAGTAGAAATCTGAGTCTTGTACGCATACAGGCCATGGATTCAGGAAGCTCAGCATGGTGTATAGCGGATCCGAAGATAAAAGAGATGTGGCGTTTCCGCAGGAGAAAGAGAAATAAGTCAGCCTGGCAAGATCCAAGCCTGGTCGCGGCCTGGATCAACACAAAAACATGCAAAGCAGGCAACTGAAACATGATGTAGGCTCTAGACCTGTTCAGGCTTTTTTTGTAGAAGGTGGAAAGAAGGTTTAAGTCTCAAAAATATATACAACTAGAACGAGCAAAGTGCTCAGAAGCCTCACATAAAGACACACCTGCCCGACCAGCGTCTATCCATGTGCCATCAACCTGCTTAGTCGTCCTGCGCAAACTCCCTGGCATCCTTCCTGCCCTTCTTCCAAGCAGTACTCTCACTAGCACCCTTAACCTTCTTCGCCAACTTAGCATTAAAGTTCGTAACAACGCCCTTCGCAACCGGCTTCCCAAGATTATCGCTCATCGGCCTAACGACATCACATCTAAGCGCCTGCGCAGGGCTCATACGCTCCATCTTCGTGTTGTTAGTCTGGATGAAGAGCCTCTCACGCGACTTGGGACCAGTATACGGCTTCCACTCGACAGCGCGCTCGGCACGGTCGGTGTTGGGGTCGAGGTTGCGGATGAAGCTCGTCCAGTAGCTGCGGACTTGGTGGATGATGGGTGCGTTGGTGGTGAAGTAGCTGGCTGGCTCGCTGTTGTCGGTGCGGTTTACGCCCCAGAAGGCGTAGGCGTTGACGGTGTGCCAGGCGCCGTAGCCGGCTGCCTCATCGGCAGGGTCTTGTACGGCGTACTTGTAGTTCCACGTGGGTACGTCGTCGGCTGCGATCGCGTTTTGGATGTTGCGTGTGGGGCAGTGGGTGCCAATGTCGCCGATGGCATCAGCGGCATGGCGCCAGTAGAGACCTTTGCCGGGGAAAGTGGGCTTCTTGGGCTTCATGTAGAGATCATCGAGGATGGAGATGGAAGAGTTGCTGAGACTTGGGTCCTGGTTGGCTACCCATTTGACGGCATCAGCTGTGGTGTTGAGATCCTCTGGTGCGTTGTACTTGGTGCCTTCTTGGGCGCAGGTTCCCATGATGGTCGGAACCTTGGCGTACTTGCCCTGTTCGAAGAGGTTGACAAGTGAGTCTGTGTAAAGGTCGCCGTCGATGTTGGGGTTGAACCAGCAGTTGGAAGTCCGGATAGCCGACTCGTTCAACGCGCGCAGGCAAGATAGGCCGTTTGTCGCATTTGCACAACCCTTGTCTTCGAGAAGACATTGGTATTGCTCCTCGCCCAGTTCCGGAGTGCGCATCGTGACCCAGCCGCCTGACTCCATGATGCCTCCAGCGAACAACTCCTTGCCGGTGTTGGCCGCTAGCATGAGCGCAACAGAAGATCCGCCAGCACTGACTCCATCAAGAACAACATGGTCAGGGTCGCCGCCGAATTGTTCGATATGTTCCTTGACCCACTCAAGGAGCTTGATCTGGTCGCGAAGTCCAGCATTGACGTCGCCACCTCCAGCCTTGACCGCTTCACTGCTGAGGAAACCGTAGAGGCCAACGCGGTAGCTGAACTGAACGAAGACGACCTGACCGTCCGACACGATCTCCGTAGGATCCCAGTTCGCGCTAGACTGCGACGAGAAGCCTCCTCCCTGGAAGAAGACTACCACTGGCAGCTTCGAGTCGACTTTGGCTTCAGAAGGCGCATAGACGCTCAGGTAAAGACAGTCTTCCGCGACGTGGAAACGATCGGTGGCTCCAGATATGGTCCAATCATCAGGGCGGTTGGGTGGGCATGTTGCGCCGTGTCTAGTCGCGTTGATGAGTCCAGATACGATAGGGTCCTGCGGGGCTGCGAAGCGTCGTTCGCCGGTAGGAGGCGCCGCATACTGGATGCCTTTCCAGGCAGAGACTCCGAGCTGTGAGTCAACGACGGCTCCCTGGTACTTCGCGTAGCCAACATCGACGAGGGTGTTGACAGCCTGCGCAATTGAAGAGAAGCCCGCTCCAGCAGCGAGCAATTGGTGGAAATGCCTCATCTTTAAGATGAGAAATGGAAGAATAAATGAACGTGGACGAGCAATGCTCTGGTAAAGAATGGATACGCGCGCGAATGCACGAAAGCTGAACTGTGTGGGCGAAGTAACGACTGACTACTGTGTCTACTACGGCCTCTCTGTGGTGAGCCTATAAATCCACCTCTCCGGATCTTCATGGATGCGCTCGAAACATATCAAGCCCGTTATCGCCGGGATGTCATATATGTGTTGCGTTCGGACCGCACTGAGAATGAACGTGGAAATTGTGCGTTCATGTTGCTGTGCTGTTCGGAGTCGGGCCGTTGGGTGATGCGGCGATTGAGCTGTTTCACGGCGGCATGGCAGGGTATCGATGTATGAGCTGACCCAGCCTCAAGGAGAAAGAGGCCATTATTCCAGGGGTTTTCTTGGGGGCCGATCGGGTTCGTCCGCAAATCACGGGCTCTAGTCCGCTGGAAGATGATTTGAGATGGATTGTTGATGAGTAAACGCGAAGGAGCGAACGCGCGGGGACGCTAACAACAGCGCACTGGCCGTCGTTATGTAAGCACAAGAAGAAATTGAGAGGATCGCCAAGCCGTACCTAGAGTTGAGTCTACGGAACATCTACATCGTGATTCCGTCCACAATGTAGCGCTGACAGCATGATACATGCGATCGTAGAGCCCAACATTGAGTCTACACGACTTTCACCGCCACGGTCCTGTCGGCGTGTCATAGACCCCAGCCTGCCCGAATTTCTGGAACAGCTCGGCATCGCGGAAACGCCACCATCCACCATGTGGCTTTGTGTATCGACACCAGAACGGGAAACCCTCAGCAAGACAATGCTCTCGATACACCTGTTGTGTATAACCGACGTAACATCCGTAACTGTAACCAAGTGGTCTCCAGTCCCTGTTCCGTGCATCGGCTCGACCTTCACGATGTGTCGCAGGCGTGTCGAGCCAAATCTTTGACTTCTTCGCGAATGCACGACGTCGGTTCCGGTCGCGACAAGGAGCGGGTTTAATTTTGACATACGGGACCATGTCGTTGTAGAAGTGTTTGTCCACGCAGGCAAACAACTTGCGGATACTGGCGTCGTAATTTCGCGGTAGGAATGGGCGTTCGATCTTGATCCATTCGGCTAAACTTCTCACCTCATCAAACTCCCACGTCGTCCACATCGAAAACAAGCTTCTGATCTTCCGTTTGAAGCCTTTCCCTTTTCCATAGAGTTTCCGGATTACAGCGTAGAGTTGCAACCGGAAAAACGCACGAAGTACACGATGATGCTCGACATTAGACAGGGTCTCGGTACCATAGTCAGAGTCATCGTATGAGGCCCACCGAGCTACTGCATTGCCTAGTGCTAGGTAAACGAACTGATCTGTAAGGCTGTCCGCGTCGATTAAGAGTGCTTGGTACTCGGCGAGCATGCCGACAGCATGACCGGGGCTGTCCACTGATATACGTAGGGTTTCATCATGTAGATTGCTGTTCAAGAACTCAGCCAGCTGCTCGCTTGAGCGTGGGCGGTTTGTATGCGTCGAAAGTAAGGCCGTAGTTGTTAGGATATGCTGAAGCTGGCTAGCGAGATGGCGGTGCTGTTTGATCGCTTTGAACTGCGCAGCAAAGTTGCAGCGGACCAAATCGCTCATCTCTGGATGCTCGAGGAGTGTGTAGTAGGCTTCGAAGTGCTTGTCCCTAATGAGGAGCTCTAGTATGCAGCAGCGTAGCTCTATCGGCAACTCGAGCATCCGCTGCAAGCCGTAGTCAGTCGGGTCGGCAGAACCAGGCGGCGCAGTCGCGTCTGCATTTTCGTGTTGCAGCATGGCATCAGATTCTAAAGCGATACTTTTGTGTGGCTCCATCGTAGTCGTCGAGTTTCGCAGACGTTAGTGAGGATCTGCGATAGATGGTGATACGGGCTTGTGCAGAAAGAATGATATTTATGAGTGCGCGGTTGCCCGTACTGGTAGCGAGCAGCGAACCATTGACAGGCACGACTACCAACCAAGGTAACTTTACTTACTAGGGCACTGTCCTCTCCCGTGTACAGTTCTCCTAATCACATTCTCCATCCACCTGTCATAACACTACACCAGCGTAACAAGCACACCCTTCCACTTCCCCGACAGCACACTAACCTTCGCCCACCTCCTAGCCACCTCCCCAATATTACCCCCATCAACACCAACACCCACAACATTAATTCTCAACTTCCACACACCCACTCTCTTCCACGTCCCCTCCTTATTCTCAGGCACTAACATCAACCCCGCCAACCGCCGCTGCACCGTATTCTTCCCCGCAGTCCTAACAACCTGACACTCCGTCATCAGCGCGTACACCGCGTTACGAGGTGGCGACGCCCGCCCGGCGGGGTCATCAGGGTAATACTCCAGAATTGGTTCCCAAGTAAACCCACGGTTGGAAGAAAGCGGCGAATGTTCTTGCAACCGCTTCATCTGCGCTGCTAAATCAGCGGGCCAATCCGCTTTTATAGGCAGAACCAACGTCGCGAGCGTGATTTGCAAGCCGGAGAAATCGAAGGGGCTAGATTCAGATATGCGATCTTGTGCGTGTTCAGCGAACCTGAAGCCCTTGGTTTCGGCGAAGAACATGTCGGTCCAGCGGACGAGATGAGGTTCGGAATCGCTTTTAGATCGGACGACTAGTTCGTCGTCGCTGAATAGGTGGCGGAGTTGGTAGTATTTCCATATTGGCACGGAGAACCACGACCAACTTGGGAGTGGTGATGTGCTTTGCACCACTCGTTCCTCAACCTCCGTCGTCCACACTGAATCTTTCAGCTCGCCGTTTGGTAAGCCGTTCTCGAGGCGGACAAGCCATTTCGCTTTCTTGTCGACGTACCATAGCATGGTTATTGGTAGTATTTCTTTCCACAGGCCGGCTAGGTAGGTGATTTGGCCTAGGTTGGAGAACGCACGCGCTACGCCTGCGAAAGCTACGATGCGGTCTTTGGAGAAAGATAGTCTGCGGCTGCGGTACTCGTTGATGACATTTTGGTAGGAGAGCGCGAAGGAGAGGATAACTGGCGAGGAAAGGCTGTTTGTCTTTGCGAGTGTGTTGATCTCTTTGATGGTGTTGGGGAAGTACCGAAACTTCCCTCGGTCTTTGCCGTGCAAAGATACTTGCAGCGTCGTCGTTGTAGGATCTGTCACCGGTGGTTCTGCAATCGGACCAAGTAATTCATCCCAAAACCCCTCCGAGCACTGCCACATGAGATTCTTATGCCCAAGTAGCAACGTCCGCGGCGCAAGAAGATACTCCTGGAACGTCCATGCGCGATTGAAGAGCGGCCAGTTGCGTTGAGCGAGCCAGTCTCTACTCGCCTCTTCCGTGTCGAGGGCGAGACGGAGTGAGGACTTCGTGTGCTCAATATATATCCCAGGTGTATGCGAAGATGAAGCCCGGAGGATACATGGATTCGAAGATCGTGGGTCTTCGCGACTGGATGGCGCAGAGGGCGAGTGAGGTGGGAAGAGGAAAGCGAGGTTGGCTGTTGCGTTGCCGTAGACAATGGCCATGCGGCGTGCTTCGTAGGTCCAGTCTTCATCCGAGTCTTGGATTATGGCTAGGCTGTCTATCCAGAGGTAGCGGTAGCCTAAGGCGAGGGTGACGCGGATCGCTTCCTTGTATACGTCTGATGCCTCCAATTGGGCTCGAGGGATCTCTTTCTGAAAGGCGTTGAGATTGGACTGACGGAGCTGGACTTGTTGGGTGTAATTCGTTCCCCACATGTAGCTCAACACTAGGTAATCGAATCTCTCGTTCTGCATGTTACAACGGAGGCGAATGGTGGTGGGTGTGATTTCGAGGACGCGCGTCGGCCGTTGGTGGGGGTTGGAGACGGTGCTACTGTGAAATTTGCGACATGCTGAGTGCTCTGGAAGACAGGTATTCAGCCACTGCTTAGCTCTGGGAATGTTGTCGCGAGCGAGTAGCGGTGCTTCTTTTGCGATAATGTGGCTGTTGAACGCTCCTGTAGTGGTATCTATCCGCCTCCGTCAGCAACAAGTTAAGAAAAGTGACATGCCAAAACTCACTATCAAAAGTCTGGAACTTGAACATAGCAAAGCCTCTACCCTCCTCTGCGCTCCTCATTTCGCCTTTAACAAGCCTCATTCGGAGTAATACTTCCGTCCCGCTCCTCTCTGTCTGTGGACACGCGTATACACCCTCATCACCAGCAGGGCGTATGCCGCGTGCAGCTCCATGCTGCAACTCCGCAAACATCATCTTGCAAAAATGACAAGACGGCGCTGACTGAGTGAGTTGAGTGACGGTGCACAAGCGCGAGAAGGGCCATGATGGGACGGGTTGACCACGAGGTCTCTGCAGCCAATTCAGAGCGCTGCACTCATTTGAGAATTTGCGGCATCGCTGGCAGAGGATGTGAAGTGGAACTGATGCTTTGCCAGTCAAAGACAGTGTAGAAGAAGGTCTAGATGAAGAGGTAGGTGGGGGCGCTTTCCCGCTTGCGGAATGATTGCGGAACGATGACATGAATGAAGGCATGATTGAATGCTTAAGGGACAAGAAATGAGATGCAACATGGCAAGCCCTTTTTTGCGCTGCTGCATACTTATAAGCAGTCCCTAAATGTTCAGCGGGTAATGATCACCACAGGAGCAAGCTTGGGAGGTTGAGCGCTTACTAGACGCCAACTCGTCGAATCGCCCATGTGGCACAGCAGCGCATCCATTATGGCGCGAGTAGATCGCGCGTGCATTCCCGAGCTGGAGAAGATCGCTGCATCCTTGTGAGCGTTTGATCAAGGACATATATGAATGTGAAGAGATCGGGAAGGAGCGAAAGACCGATCACAAGCGAGGAACTTGCCGAACACTGAAGATGGAAGGAACAGGGACAGGAAAGTACGACCTCGGCAGGCGAACATCAAGAATGCAGCACTGGAGAGAGACATAACAAATCGAGAGCACATCTCGAGGAACTGCTATCAAATTGGGTATCCGCCAACACACCCTCAACAGCAGGCGCAACACTATTCGTATCGTAGCAAGTACAAAGCCCTGCGGCAATATCCATCTAACCTAGAAACGCCAACCACGACTTTCGATATAGTCAAGCAGTAAAGACGCCTTTGCAAATATGCAAATATCCCAATGCCAAAATATAAACAGAACTGCGTCGCTAAATGAGGAAAGATGACAAGGAAATAGTGGTCGTTAATGCGGAGGCGACACGGTGTGCGGGACTAAGCACGCCCACGTTGTGGTGACGAAGGAAGCTAGTCGTGTAGGTCGCCCTGTCATCATGTGGGTGAGATGAGGAGGGGTAGGGCGACGTGCAGCGCTGTCGTGGTGAAACTGCCAGGGTCGGATGATAGGTGATCCGATGACATAATAGCGCCGATGAACCACCGGTGGGAAACGGCGGTGGGGAGAGTAGCGCAGTCGTGAGATGAGTATCACGGGTGTGAGATGGTAAGAGAGTTTCGTGCGGGTGGGTATGAGGCTGCTGCTCAGAGGATGCGTTTTCTAATGATTGTCAGTCATTTGATACATGTTGATTGTGCATGGAGGAAAGGACTCACTGTCTGAAGACGGTCTCCAGGGCGATAGCGCTGAGCTCTGAATCATCGGGCAGACACTCAACGAGCGGTATCAGGTCTGCGAACTTCTCGCCGCCTTTGTATGCCAGCACGGCGGGAACACCGGTATCCTCGATCTCAGCATCGTCGTTGTACATCTTGACGAAGCGGACGGTGTCGTTACGCTTTGCTACCTCGTGCATGACCTTCTCGAACATTTGTGATACCTCGGCGTATGGCTATGGTGCTGTTAGTAGGAGTTGGACAATGGATGGAGTGATGTGTATACATACATCACTGTTGTAGATGAAGACGACAACGACAGTACTCGACGCCGTCTTGTCAACAGCATCGAGGTACCCCACACCATCCACCAACGGCATACTGCCATATATCCTCCGGCTAGGGCTGTTGGTCCTCGACCGTATCCTCTCACCAACATTCTGCAGTTCCTTCAACCTCGCCTCACGCCATTGGCGCATGAAGCCCTCGTCGACCTCGTCATCACTGCTCGATGTCTTCTCGTCGTGATAGGCATTGACGTTGTACTGTGCGGGTGCGGCGTTCTTCTTCCATGTGAATCGGCGTGCTTGCTTCTTGGCCTGCTCAAACGCCTGGGCGTCAGCAATGACACCCTTGGGCCCCGTGTTGGCCTCTGAGCGCAGGTTGGGCATGTAGTAATTCGCCCTCATATCGGCTGGGATGTCGAGCTCGTCGTCGGTATCGATCTTCTCGAGGTAGTCGTCGGCGGCACCAGGGGATTCCGGGTCGGAGAGGTCGGAGTCGTTGTGTCGGTCTTCTGGGTGGCGGTCTTCGCGGTCCTTGTCTCGGATCAGTTCGTTGAATTCGTCTTGAGCGGCTGTAGTCATGACGGAAGAAAAAGAAGAGCGGGACCCGAATGACGGGCGCCGGACTGATATATGTGTGGAGAAGGGGGACGGTCAGCGTCAGCTGTTTGCAGAGTCCGTGTACAGGTCCCGGTGTCTGGTGACGCGTTGGTCTGTGGTGGGCAGAAGGAAAGGGAGTCGTTGCAAGGTTGGGGTCGGTCGTCTGGGATGGTGCTCCGCTAGATGACAGGCCTTGGCGCGCGTGCTTGCAGGGCTATTTTCGAGTACGCGCTGGGGTTTCAGCGATGCAATTGGACGCGCACGGGAGAATTCCCTCGAGGATTCCAACGTGCGTACGTGGATAACGTGGTCGAGGCGGTACGGTGTGTAGGGGTGTGCTTGGTAGGTGCTGTTTTAGGGCTGATGCTGACCGGCCGATTTCACGATGCATTAGACGTCCGCACGGGGCCGCATCGCATTCCATTGGCGACGCGCAAAGGCATGTCGGCCTTATGAAACAGGATGCTCGAGTGCGAAACACGCTCACCCGCCTGTACACCGCCCAATCGAGGACCCGCGGGTGGCGCGCAATGGCTTGGGGCGCCGCGTGAAAGCCTGACGACTGCTGAAACACCATGCCGAACTATCTTGCTACACGCCTCCTCGACACGTCTGTCGCAGCATCAACCTGCCCTATCCTCGCTGCTGTTTTGAGGCTACACGTCACAATGATCTTTCGACTCTGCTAACCCTCTCATGCGCTCTGGATGTTTCAATCTCCTCGAGGCAGCAACTGTCATGCAGCACCAGAGTTCCATGGCACCGCCGACCAAAAGGGGCCGAGGACCTCTCTTTCGGTCTTGTTTGATATTCTCGTCCCGGCCACATCCCGGATGCGAGTCCCCCGGTGCACATGCAATGGAATCCTTCTGTGCTCGCTTCTAGAAGCATTAATGCCATCCATCGCGTTCCTATTCTCCGATCGACTCCTGCATCGGCTGAGGCGCTTCCTTTTGTCGATTTCAGGGTCCAGTTGCCATGCAGCCTAAGATTGCGGGCATTAGCTGAGGCACGTTAATGCCAAAAGACGATGGTTCGATACATTGATTTCTCTTCGAAAATAGAAAGACGTTGCATAACCGCCCGGGTGAAAGTAAAATACGACGTGGCTCCTGCGTCTTCTGCTCGGTCGCTCTGCTGTCATCCATGAAGATCACAACCATAATCTCTCAGCCCTGCCCGACGAACGCTTAAAGTACGGTCACGCTACCATCACCGCAATAAGCTCTGATCGCTGATACTCCGGCTTGTCACTGCTTGTCCCGGAGTGACGTCCGGACGGGCAATTGGGGTCCCCTGGACAACCTAGTCATATGCATAACGGTGTGCGCGCCACTAGATTCGCGAGCGGGTATCATCCCAGGTGGTGCAATCACCTTGGAGCTGTTAATGCCTCGCACAATGGCCTAGGCCAGAATGCGAAAAGTAACTTCTACCGCTGAGGCTACAGTAACCGCTGGGAGCGCCGAACAACAGTCGCGACAAGGTCTAGAAGGCACGTTGACGTTGATTACTTCTTCCACGAGCTGACCTGGACTGAGCGCGCTCAAACGTTGGAATGCTCGAGACGTTCCAAGGTTCCTGGAAAAGGCAATATCAGTCATCTTATCATCATGCAAAAGCGTTCGATAAACTTAAAAGAGGTATATAGAAACTCGCTGACTACCCACTCATCCTTCACAACCCAATCAAATCGTACACATTGAAAGCCCATGCGCCAGAAAGCCATGATCCGTCCATTCAGTCCCCCACATCCATGGATTCTCCAAAACCATTTGCACGTAGTAGAATCCGAAACATACAGTAATGAAGCTCCCCGTCTTGCACAGCCCCATCTCTTCCCACGCAAGTGCAAGTACAATCGGTCGCTTTTAATGATCAGGCAGAACGCAAGGAGAACTATGTCGAAGGTTGATGTAGATAGGTGCTACTCATGTACGTAGAACAGCCGGCCCGGACATGAAGACGAGTGTGAGTAGTATGCTCGCACCGTCGAGAAAGGAATAGAACAGTGGTATGAAAAGAAAAAGTAGTTTGAGCACAAAAAGATTCCGGGCGCCGGGACATCAGTTGGCACCGTAGCCACATCGACGCTTCCAACAGGTGCGAAGTATTATATTCTTAGAGTATGGCAGCGCTCAGCCTCCTGGTTGATAAGATGCAGCAGGGGTATGGTATGCCAGGAGTTGCGGAGATCGCTGTCGTAGGTTGTAGTTTGCCAATATTACGGTAAGGCGCACACGTTCGGATTGGCGTCGTTACATGGCGTCGTGGAAGTTGGGGAGGCTGACGGCACTTATGCCCAAATGCGCAGCTATGCCAAGTCAGTTGTGTGATGCAGACGGGCGCACGAGAGAACCTACCATTGAGTCCCATGAACCAGTGCATAGACTGAGCGCGTCGTTGCTAACGCCGAGACAGCTGACGCGGTTGTCGTGTCCTTGCAATGTGCCTACGCGTTCGCCGCGGAGTACGTCCCAAACCTGGATATTATTAGACTGTGGAACCTGTGGGGGCTGCGCTGACTGCTTACCTTGCACTCAAAGTCGTCGTAACCAGCAAAGAGCAGTCTTCCGGAGACGGAGAAGGCTACGGATGTGATACCGCAGACGGGCTCAGGAATCTATGGCAGAAATTAGTAATCCAAATGCCAAGAGTGCCAGATATGTCAACGGGCGTACCTGGTATGATGCGAGCTCGCGGTCGGCACGGATATCGAACAGACGGCAGGAGGCATCGTCGGAACCGGTACCGAAGGCATTTCCGTTGGGGAAGAATTGGATAGCGTTGATGTCAGAGTCGTGCGCGGCAAAGGTCTGCACGCACTTCTGCTGTCTGATGTCCCAGAGCTTCGCGAAGGCGTCGCAAGCACCGGAGACGAATTGGTTGTGGTCGAGCGGGTTAATGCTCAAGCTCATTACATCACCGAGATGGTCGGCAAACTCGTGCACCTTGGAGCCAGTCTCCAGATCCCACAACACACAGGTCATGTCACCGGATGATGTAAGGATGCGCTTGTCGGAGATAAATCTGCAGCAACTGAGGTAGCCCGAGTGGCCGGACAGCTCGCGTGCCACACGTGTCGGGCCTTCCCGTGCCGACAGGTTGTAGATGGAGCAGATGTTATCGAGACCACCACAGGCGACGTAGTTGCCGGACGGGGAGTAGGCGCACGTCATGACCCAAGACGATCGCAGGGGGATGGCGTGGACCTTGTTGGTCGTGTAGGCGTCCCAGATGATGAGCTTTCCGTCCTGCGAGGCGGAGACGAGATGTCTGCGGTCGGTGGACCAGTGCATGGCGTAGATTTTAGCCAGATGGCCCTTGAGGGTGCGCTTCGTCTTCATGGTGAGGCGCGGCAGAGCCTCGACACGGTCTCTGGCGACATCGCGAACTGCGCTCTTGTGTTAGCCGTCTGCGAGGTTCCGATGCGGTGAGCACGCCGGCTGGAAAAAGAACATACGGGTCGTGTCAGCGAGCTCATCCTTCTTGCGCTTTATCCTGTCCTTGAGCGCCTCAGCGTCGCGGCGGGCGAGCTGGATCTTCTGCTGGATGGTTTCTTGGTTCATATCGGCCATGTATTAGTGGTGAGCCGGTGGTGAGGGTGTTGTCGCGAGCGGCGCGAAACGGCGAGGCAGGCGAATCCAGGGGCCTCCTAGGGAGCGCGGCAGCCGGAAGCGAGAGAGAGAGCGGCGGCAGGAGCGATGGACAGGCGGCAGCAATGGCTAGACGCGCGCAGAGCAGAATCAATTGCTTGCGCAGAGGGAGCGGCGGCTGGCAAACGGTCGTGGGGGCGTGAGGATGGAAGGGTGAGTGCTTGGAGATGAGTGAGGTACAGGAGCGGCCCGGGGTGAGCTTAGCTTGGCCTAGCCGAGCAACGAGCGCTGGAGATCAAAGGGCGCTGCTCCGCCAGTCTGTCGCGAAGATGCCAACTGCAAACACCTGCCGTGACACGTGAGCGCTGTGAAGGGGCGGTAACGTGAGGGAGCCCTGCGTGCTGTCGGGTCGGGTGTTTGCACTGCTGAGGGCGCCAACGTGGTGTTGCTATACTCTGCTCCTGTCCAGACCTTGACGAAGAAGGCGCGCGCTGCAATCTCCTGCAGCGCTCCTCCTCCTTTGGGGGTAGCCGAGGCGACGGACGAATGAGCAGCGAGCAGCCTATAGGAGTCGGCTAGCACGATGACCCGCGTCCGCCGCTATACCCCCCAGGCCTGTCCTGAAGTCTATTCACCTTTCCATTATCGCTTCGAGAACCATCCCCACGCCACCAATACCGCCGTGTCCCCCAGCATGGCTGCACTCCCCATTGCGACTGCACACGACCTGCCCGTCGACGCTGCCTTCACCAAGGGCCTGCCCAAGATTGAGGTACTGCTCCAGCCTCCCTGGTCCCTAGTCATCGCGCCAAGGACGCTCAGACTTCCGTTCGCTGCTGCTAATGACGCGACTCAGCTTCATGCCCACTTGACCGGCAGCATCAGTCGCGACTGTCTGCACGCCATATGGGAGACAAAGAAAGCACGGCAGCCTGATTTCGACCTCGAGGATCCCTGGGTCGCTATACCCACGGGCAAGGTCGACTACGATATCAAAACGTAGGCTTAGCTTGATTTACTCGTCGTTCGGAATTCTCGCTGTAACACCGGCGTGCCGTTGGGGATACATGGGCCAAGACGATCGGGCAAGCGAGTTCGCGGCCAATATTCTCCTGACAAATGATCGCTACCCGCTCGGTCGTCCCAAACAACTGGCCTACCACGCGAAAATGCTAGCAGACGTCTGACAGCTAGATTAGGTTCTTCCCGCTGTTTTCGTCATACATCTATCGCCTTTGCAGTGATTTGCCGAGCATCCAGTATGTCTGTCGACATGGACGTGTATGGCGAGCTGCGGTTGATCAATCTAGGTACTCCACCAGGGCTGTGTTGCAAGACTTCCAGGATGACGGGGTAGTATATGCTGAGCTTCGAACAACTCCAAGAGCGATTCTTGGAGAGGGCGTAACCAAGGATGATTACGTGAAGACCGTTTTGGACATACTCCATGCCCATAACGACGATGCTAACAGCACCATGCGAGCTTTCCTCATACTATCAATTGATCGTCGCAACAACATCGCAGATGCAGAAGAAGTCGTCGATCTCGCCATCAAATATCAGTCCGCTGGCGTTGTCGGTGTCGACCTCTGCGGCGACCCAGCGAAAGGTGACATTCGCATATTCGGCGACAGCTTCGCTCGGGCAAAGGCTGCCGGACTGAAGATCACGCTGCACTTTGCCGAGAGCGAAAATTCTTCCTCGGATTTGGAGTTGCAAACACTCTTGTCATGGCAACCTGACAGACTGGGTCATGTCATACATGTCAAAGATGGGTTCAAAGAGACCATTGAGCAGCACGGAATCGGCGTTGAGCTGTGCCTCAGCTGTAACGTCCACGCTAAGATGATCACGGGCACTTACTCGGACCACCACTTTGGTGTGTGGCGACACAGCAGTGTTCCCGTCGCCCTGAGCGTATGTTGCAGAACACGTGTGTTTCTCGTGATGACTAACACCCGGCAGACGGATGATGTAGGTGTCTTTTGCAGTCCGCTCTCGCAAGAGTACTACCTCGCAGCGCAGCATTTTCATTTGAACCGAAGAGATATCAGAGCACTTTGCGTGCGAGCAACCGACTCAATCTTCACAGGTTCTGATGAACATGCCCGTTTGCGGAACATCTACGCATCTTGGAACGGATGGAATATATGAATCACGGCCGAAGCAACAAACAGTCATTCGGCTGATGAAATCTAGTCATAATGACTCCGATATATGACCAAAGTTATCCTGCCACGTCTTTTGCAATAGTCGTCGCTGAGTACAAGATCTTGCAATGCATTCTCCTTCTTTTCTTCCTACAATCCCTCTCTCATAAACACTACTACACGACGATTAACTACCCAACAACGCGCCATACACGTTCGCAGCTCCAGCATGGCTATCATTCCACTGAACAGCGTAGTCTTCACGCTCTTCTTGATCCTTTCTCTAATCGCCGGGACTGCTGCTCAAAGCTCGGCTCAGGCTGCTACCAATACTTCACCAAGCGCATCACAGGCTTCTGTGCAGGCTTCCTCTCAGGCTTCGCAGGCTGCCTCTCAGACTTCACTGGTCACATCCCAGACCTCTCAGGCTACTTCTCAGTCTTCTCAGGTCGCCTCTCAGACCTCTCAAGCTATCTCTCAGGCCGCGTCACCAAGCATTACTCCGACAAGTTCACAAGCTGCCTCTGCGGCGCCCATTGTAGTCCCTAACGTCGACGCGGACAAGAACTTCGTGATCGGCGATACTTGTGATGTCGATCAAAAAAGCATCATCAAAACCGCCTTTGTCGGGACTGGCACGTTGGCCTTCTATGGAATGCTGGATTGGTCAAATGCCAATCTTGGACAAGACCCACCCTTCGTGGAGAATCTTGGTACCAGCGCTATTCAGAATGCTAGCACAGTCGAGAGCGTGTTTAAGGACTATTCAAGCGCAACCGTGAGTGCTGCTTGGAAGATCAATGCGGTTTGCGACATCAAGAACGAGACAGCGGCATGTCAAAGTAAACACGTGTATGGCGGCATAGGCAGCGAAGGCCCCCGGGTGGACCTCAAACCTAATCTCTACTTTTGTTGGGAGTACTTCCGATTCCCTCCTCTGAACGAGGCAGTACAGATGGGCCTGAGCGATTCAGTCGACTGGACGCGCCGTTTCAATATGGGCTCATATCATGAGAACCAAGGTATGGGAATGCCATCTCGAACACATCCACATTCACCTTATACTAATCTACTAATAGCTTCCGCACTCTTGCGAGCTTTGCTCTACTATCTCCCACAACGAGAGGGCTGGAACCGGCATATCTCTAACCTGTGGGTGTACATGCGATATGCGGGTGGGGCGAGTAAATGGACAGCTTGCTATGGTGTATACTGCAGTAAGCTCCTAGCTCAGTTGGCCGATAGTGAAACATGGAGCATTCTTAATGGTATGCATTTGACAACAACAAGAACTCTTACCCGATGCTGACGGGTATAGCCGATAACTATGCTCTTTTTGCGTTGCAGAAGTACGTTTCTCATCAACTTGGGGAATCTAACAGTCTTGGAACATCCAACTTTCCATGGCTTCCTCGTCTCGAAGATGGTCCGAATCCCATCATTAAGCCTTTTGTTTCGGGAGATATCGAGACCTTCCAGGTGACTCCGGAATTTAGCGCAGAGAGTGATTCCCAGTGGTATTACGACGTCGAGCGATACCAGAAGACAGACATTTTGGACTTCAAGGACCAACTTCCAAAAGAATCTCAGGCTGATCTAGAGAATGCGCCCTGGTCCTTTGGCGCCACCACATCCGGTTTTAAAGCACTTCGTGACAAGTTCCTGAAGGTGTTCAACGAAGCAAAACAGCACGGCATGTCCAACCTGGGTGCATCAAAAGAATACACATGTTATCGTGAAGATAAAACCGCGTTCCCGGACGCCATAGCCTTTACATTTGACGAAGTGCAGAGTGAATTGGACAACTTCTGCAAGAACAAAGTCAACGACTACATGCTCGCTGGCAAGCCTCTACATCCGCGCATCTTCCAAATCGATAAGGAAGTCGAGTTGTATACACAACTCCCGGATGGTACAAAGGATCTGTCCTACTACGTCGCCCCAGGCCCTGATAGCTTCATGACAGGGAAGAACCTATCTGTATATTTCGAAGGAATACAATCTGACGAGAAAGCTTCGCATTGCATAGCAACATACAACGACCTCATTACACATGTGGGTTACTAATCTTCCAAAATGCTTGCTTCCAATACTAATAAACCTAGTGCGATGGAGCAGACAGTGACGACAAATATGGTGGTTATCTCAAAATCTACGACATGGTGCGTATTTCCCCGTTGAATATGACCGAACGATAATGCTATGATGACTCCTTGAGAGTCACACTTAAGAACCATCATTGACGCACTTACAGATCTTCGCCGTAGGCGCTATGACGCATCCATCAGCCCACTGGGACATACCACGGACCTTAGAATCCAAATGCACGGATTACAATGCCACGAGTGCATGGCGGGTCGCACCCTTTATCGATATCAACGATAGCGAACGTACGGGGCGGCTCTGTACGTGTTGGTTTGGTAGCAACCCCATGGGTGCGGCTATGGTCTGTAAGCAACCGGGGAAGTCTTGCGCAGATGTTTGGAAGCAGCAAGGCGCTACCATAGGTGCTGCGGCGAACATGCGGTGCATTAGTGGGTAGCCTAGGCGGCGGGATGAGATGTTGGGGATGCACATGTATGGAGTATAAGAGTCGATATCTACGCGAAGCTGGAGTACATTCCATCGTGTGCGGTCCGGAAAATGACACGAATCGCGAAACATCCCAACTCTCACTAAACAAGAACTTGAACCACTGTCCAGTCACCAAATCCTATAGACTAGTCACAACGACTCTGCCATGACAGAAAGCATACTTCCACGTCCTACGCAACAGTCATCGGTGAGTATAAGATCTCGCATCGCAGTTCTCTCCTTCCTTCCTACAATCTCTCTTCGATAGACACCATCACGCAAAATCACGCAGCCAACATCACTTCACATCTTTGCTGTACCTGCATATCATATCTAGTGCCCTGCCATTCTACAACTATTCATCTCCTACCGCTCGTCCTACAGCATGTTCAACGCCATCAAGAAAGTCCGTTCGTTGGCCACGTCAGTGTTTAGACCGAATGGTCTAACCCTCACGATCTTCTTGATCCTCTCTCTCATAGCGGATGGCGCCGCGCAAAGTTCTTCGCAGGTAGCCTCTGCAGTTTCCCAGACTGCCTCGGTGACTTCTCAGGTAGTCTCCGCTGCTTCTCAGGCTAGCCAACAAGCGTCCTCTCAAGCAGATTCACAATCACCTTCCCAGACTCTCGCACAAACAGGCCCTCAGCCCGCGGTATCAGCGCTGCCATCAACTGCCGGGTCCATAATCTCCATTGATGATTCATGCAAGGCTGAGCATCGAGACATGCTTGACAACGATTTGAAAGATGTTATGGACATGGCCAACGTGACAGCCAAAAGCCAAACAGCCTACACGGACAACCCAAACTTTTGGCTGTTCTTTGGCAAAAGTTCAGTCGAACACATTCCGGTCATCAAGAGTGCTTTTCCAGGCGTGCTGCAACTTTCAGAGCCAATTTCGGTGACGTGCAACTTCGACGGCTCAGCTCCGTGTGCCGACCGCACGAACTTTCCCGGCATTGCCAAGACGCAAGGTCAACAACCGGGGCTTGTAATCTGTCGCGAATACTTCGGACTCCCTCCACTGAACCATAGGGTCCAGATGGGTATCAATTCCCCCACTAATCTTACGGCTCGATACAATTCAGGGTATTATCACGACAATCGAGGCGAGTAATTCAACAATTGTACACTTGCCGCTAGATCACTGACATCGATCAGCTACTACCTTGCTGCGCATGCTGGTCCAGTTTCTTCCTACATCGAAAGAACTAAAACGACCCATTTCAGACCTTTGGGTTAATGTATGGCAAGATTCTCCTGGCGGAGTCAAGGAGTCGTGGTCAGCTTGCTACGGGGTACTTTGCGCCAAGGTTTTGGCTCGAGTTCACGACAGCTCCAACGACTGGGGAGCATTGAACGGCATGTTCGTCATCTTCTGGATAAACTCATGTTGGGCTAATCATTTCTAGCGGACAACTATGCTCTTTTTGCCCTATCCAACTATGTATCGCAGGCTATCGGCGGCACGGTTCCTTACTTCCCTAGAATTGATGATGATCCATCTTACGGCAAAATGGTCGTTCCTTTCAATGACGAAGAATCTGCCCAAATTCAAGTAAAAGGCTGGTTCCACTGGCGCGGACTTTCCCAGCCGAACTACGACCCTTCTCTACTACAACCCGATAAAGCTGAATTCGATATCGGGACTGAGCTTGACGAAGAACGAAAGGCCGATATACTAAGCGCCCCGTATTACAGAGAACTCCCAGATGAGTCCATAAGGGGCAAAGAGGACTCATGGATCGGTACCTTTGTAGACGCCCACAAAGACCAACTACTCAATACGGATGCAACGTCCGACCGTACTTGCTTCGGTGAAAGCCATGCCCAGTACCCAAATGCGAAAGAATTCGACGGAGAGGAGGCAGTTGGCTTTTCCCAACAGTTCTGTGAAGACATCATCAAGTCTTGGGACCCAAGAACCCCAATTCCACCATCTGTGCGCGATACCGCGGATTTCCGTAACGCAAGTAGGGCGTACAAACTTACAAAAACAAACGCTGACTCGCATGTTGGATTCTTTGCGGTCGCTGATCCTGCGTTGTTCATACAAGCTCGACCCACTTGGTACTTTTTTGAAGGAGCTACGAACGAGACCAAAATCGACCACTGTCGCTTGACTTATAAGGATATCATACACAATGTAAGACATTAGTGCAATCCCATGGCAACATCAGTCCATCTACTAATCAACCTAGTGCGATACCGATCCCACCAAAAGACGTGGCGGCGTGCTCAAGCTCAACGACCGCCTCTACGGCGTCTACGTCACACCGGATGAGCGAGAGGATAAACTTCCCTGGCTCACAGATTACACTGCTCTCGGTGATCTCAAGTGTGCGAATTACAATGACACTAGCAACTGGCATATAAAAACATCCATTGAAGGTACATCAAAGACAGAGTCGCCTGTTGATATCACCGATAGGGAAAAACTGGGTGACATCTGCTCATGTTGGTACTCTGCTTTTCCGTTCACCTTCGATCTGTTTTGTAAAGGTTCCGCATCAAAGTGTGAGGATTTGGCGAAGGACGACAAGAGGAAAGCGGCGCTTTGGGACGATTTTGCCTGTTCATTGTAAGGACTTGCGATGTCTTCAGGCTAGCGTTGCGGACCTGAAATGTATCGTATAGAATGGCCGGGTGCAATGTAGCTATGCGATATCACTCAGAACCCGTCCACGTTAACCTAGGAAAACTGAACATCCTAGAGCCTACATCGACGTCAGCTTACATACTTTGCATGCTTCTATCGTGATGTAGTCTACAGTCCTGGTATATGCTTTTTCTTGTATGAGCTGCGTCTGTCTCATGTCCGCATGACATCAACGTATAGCTCCTTCCTGTCTGGAACGTCGTGCGTTTTAGCGTCGCGCTAGTGGAAATGATGTTCGCCGGCGTCGGCCACGTCTGCCCCTCGGTCCATCACCTCTGCACCCGCAGGTACTCACCACATCACGTCTCATCAGCCACTTCACAAATGCGGATACAGCAGCATAACTGCTTGCCACTCGACTCAACTTCGAACATGGTGCAGGCGCCGTTGACTTCATCATACCCGCGTGCGCAGCGATTTCACCTCGGCTTGTAGAACGATGGCGCAATACGGGGTCACGCTTGCAGCCACCACGCTTGCAGCCAGGTACCAGCCGTCCTTGGTTCAGGCACGGCAAACGGCTGGGCATGAGCACGCTACGAGCGGTTGTGGCAATGTGTATGCTATCCCTCATGCATCTAGTCTTCCGAGGTCGCATTGGCGGATTCTTGCCAATGCCTCGCCATGATTGGAAGCTTGCATTCTAATACGAATACCGGCAGGATGAGGGTGTAGGACCCGCTCGGAGCGACCCTTCCTTCTGATCCTTCACTACTGCTGCGGATACTAGTAACACGGAAAAACAACGTCCATACAGCATGAACGAACAGCGCCAGCACATGTGTGCAGGAAGTTGTGGTCCTCCTGCAGCAGGATTATGGGTTGATTAGTATTCGACGAGCGACGCTGGAGCTAACTGAACTTCTACCACCGCGTATTTACCAATGGTAAAGACCACGAGGATTGATCGCTTAGAAGCAGCTGGACCCTTCTTGATCAGCGACGAACCGGCAAAGTTCCCTGACTCATAGGGATTTCCTACGAGTCTAGACACTGTCGCTACGCTCACAAGTTCAACCTTGGGGAGCTGCCAGTGACGATCACCACGATTAGCACGCATATCTACTGGCCATTTACCTGGACTACGAACAAACACCAGAATAGGTGGACTATGCCCTTGCAATTCCCGAGCTCGCCAAGAGGGTAGAACGCCAAACTACCGGCACTACAAGAAAGTCGGCGAATAAAGAGAGCCATCGCAAAAGCTCCTATCTGCTAAGCGCCCCTCGATATTAGAAGATAAAGGTCTTGGCTCTTGGCAGCGGGACACATGATGAATCAGGAAGGTATGGTAAAGAGGTGTGTATGGCTTCTGCATGAACGGATATGCCCGTGCGGGGTTATTCCCTAAGGCTGGCACATTATCCGACCAACTCGCTTATCTACCCCTACCGGATCTCTGTCGTATCTCAACCTCCTTCCTGAACGGATTCGCGTACCTGGATAGCGTAGGGGTGCTTGCAGACCGTTAACTTTGGTGTTAAGAGCTGCTACATCGATAGCTCGATGGCCTCCAGGGGCGAATTTCTTGTCAGGTGCCTGTTTGGGTGTAACACCGTGGGGGCAATGTCTTGTGAGGTGCCCTATGGGGTTTACCTTTCCGATACTCTTGAAACGTAGCACCCCGGGGTAAACATGCCTTGCAGCGGAAGAGGAAGGAGATATTCTGGTTAGCGGTCGATCCAATTTACAGCTCTTGTGAGGTGCCTTTTGGAGACTACCTTTCTGATACTGCAAGCACGTGGGACCACACCACGTAGCGGATGAGGAAGGAGGCAGTCCGTCGCCGTGTATGCGAGCTAGGGCTCTATCTTGCACAGCAACGGACGAAGACATGATGCAAGTCACGACGCCAGAGGTGGACGAAGAAGTATAAGTATAGGAGGGTATTCCCGTCGTTTTCAAATCATCACTCTCATCAGTGTCACTCACTCTACTACCTTCGCTCTCGCCTCTACAACATCAAACGTTCGGTATCTTCACCATGGTTCTCACCAACTTCCTCGCTGCCGTGGCAGTCTTCCTGCCCATCGTCTACGGTGCCCCTACCACTGCTGCCAACAGCCTGCACCCCGACATCCTCGCTGCCATGAAGCGCGACCTTGGACTTGATGCCGAGCAGGCCCACGCCCGTGTTGCCCGCGAGCTCAAGGCCACCGATGTCATCGAGCAGCTCCGTACCTCCACCGGTGCCTCCTTCGGTGGTGCCTACCTCGTTGACGGTGACCTCACCGTTGCCGTCACCGACGAGGCCTCTGCCTCCGAGGTCGAGGCCGCCGGTGCTAAGCCCCTCCTCGTCTCCGTCCCTCTCTCCAAGCTTGAGGCGGCCAAGGCTGCTCTTGACAACATGGACATCGAGTCCGCCAAGCGCTCCGAGTCTGGAATCGCCGCCTACTACGTCGACGTTGCCTCCAACAAGCTCGTCTTCGAGGCTCTCGCCGACAGCACCGACTCCGCTGCCGACCTCGCCAAGAAGGTTGGTCTCGCCGACTCCGAGTACGAGGTCAAGACCGTTGCCGCCATGCCCACCACCTTCGCTACCATCCGCGGTGGTGACGCCTACTACATCAACCGTGCCGGCCGCTGCTCCGTCGGTTTCTCCGTCACCGGTGGATTCGTCTCCGCCGGCCACTGCGGTACCACTGGCAACACTGCCTCCACCAGCGCCGGTGCCACCATCGGTACTTTCGCTGGCTCCAGCTTCCCCGGCAACGACTACTCGTACATCCGCGGCACCTCTGGCAACACGTACCAGGGCCGCATCAACAACTACGCCGGCAGCACCCTCCCCGTCTCCGGCAGCACCGCCACCGCCACCGGCGGCAGCGTCTGCCGCTCCGGTTCCACCACCGGTGTCTTCTGCGGTACTATCCGCGCTCTCGGCGCCACCGTCTCCTACGCTGAGGGCCGTGTCACTGGCCTTACTCAGACCAACGTCTGCGCTGAGCCCGGTGACTCTGGCGGTTCCTGGTACAGCGGTGCCCAGGCCCAGGGTGTCACTTCTGGTGGCTCTGGTGACTGCTCCAGCGGAGGTGTCACTTACTTCCAGCCTGTCAACGAGATTCTGTCTGCTTACGGTCTTACTCTTACCCGCGGTTAAACGCTTGGATGTGAGTTTGCTTTTTGCCTAGCGATGGATGATGGTTTGGATGATATGGTATGAAATGTTTATGAGAACGGCTTTGAGTTGTATATAGTTTGATTGTTGAATTGCAGTTATGATACCTGGAAACCTGTTTGACAACTTGGTGATGCTGTGATCTTTGGGTGTGACTTTACTATACACAGTAGGATCGGTCTTGCAAAAAAGTTCTTGTTGACTTAGACATCTCTTTTCGCCTCCTTTGTATGCATGCTACTACATTACCGACGTGATCTCCTATTTTGCTACCAACTGCAAGATCAAGTTGTCCTCACATACCCTATAGCTAACTTAACCACACTTAACTAAGATCATCTTCTGTCCGTCAAAAGAGCCTCATCATGTATTTCCTCCAGCTTTGCAGCCAACCCACTTCCTACCCATCACAAACAACTGTTCTATGCTTTTCACCTTGTATACGTCGTCTTACATCCACCATCCACCCAAGCAAATGCAGAAGAAGAGCATACGAGACAAAGTAGACAAACTAGCATATCAAACGTGTCCCATCTCAAAAAAAGACAAAAGGCATAGTCGTATGCAAAAGCCCGGTATGATACGTTCAAACTAAGCAAAGAGGTGTGCTCATTATAACATTTATTTTCTTTCACTATCCCCGCCGCCGCTATCTCTCATATCGCCCTTCAGTATCTGGATTAGATGGTCTATAGACATGTGGTGGATACTGGAGGGCGATGAATGGAGTGATAACACTACACTCCATTCATCGCCCTACAGTATCCACCATATGTCTATAGAGCATCTGATCTGTATACATGTCTACCATCTACCATCTGTCCCGTACCTTCCCAATCACTCATCCACCACATTACGATTATCGACTACCATCTACTTCAACAACCTACTCACCACGACTTCGAAATGCACACTCACAATCACAAGTACAAACAACAAAAACGACGAGCAATTATATCCATCAAATGCAGAACATCATCTAGTCTCTGGAAAAAGGTGCCATGCGGACATAAAAAAAAGTTTAATAGTGTAAAAAAGCCAACAGCGAGGGTATTGAATCGAGAGAAAAGGGTTATGATACATGCAAGCAAACACGCGCCACAACAAGGCCAACGCGCACGAGAACGGACGCCAAAATGCTCCAGAAAGTTTGCTGAATAACGTCGTGAAACCAATAAGTGTGGTCGGGATGACAGAAGCGTTGATGAAAAGAAGATGCTGCGTAGGACATATGTAAGATACGTATAATACTTCTTTTTACCGCAGCGTCCCTTGTACATCATCAACAGTCCTCTTGAGCACATCCTCGATCCTCCACCTGGGGGGCTTGGGCATCGTCTCCTTGTTATCGTCCGCGGCCTTGCTCATCTCGAGAAGGTCCTCGGGTTCCGCACCTCCGGCAACACCACTGCTGAACTTGAGTTGGAGGAGCTCGCCAACCTGGTCGCAAGCCGTGAGCATACGGTCGAGATCATCCTTGGTGTGCGCGGCGCTGACGCAGAAGCGGGCGCGTGATGAGACGAGAGGGGTGGCTGGGTAACCGACGACGACGACGGAGATCTTGCGCTTGAGCATCTCATGGGAGAAGGCGGGCATCTTGGCGGGGTTGTACAGCATGACGGGGATGATGGGGGAGTCGTCGTGGCCGTAGACGATGAAGCCGAGGCGCTTCAAACCGAGACGGAGGTAGCGCGAGTTGAAGCAGAGACGCTGGAGACGCTCTTCACCTTGGCCGGGAACGATAGAACCATCAATGATACGAAGGGCAGACGAGATTTGCATGAGGACGGGTGGTGCGGGTGACTCGGCGAAAAGCATGGCGGCGTTGGAGGTGCGGAGCTTGTCGATGATAGGCTTCTCAGCGGCGATGTAACCACCGTTGGCACCGAAGGATTTCGTCAATGTACCCATGAGGATGTCAACTTCCGAGGGGTCGATGCCAAAGTAGTCGCATACACCACGTCCGCGAGGGCCGACACCACCGACAGAGTGGGCTTCGTCGACGAAGAGGTTGAACTTGTACTTGTGCTTCAGGCTGATGATACCGGGAAGGTTGCACATGGTGCCCTCCATGGAGTAGAGACCCTCGACGGCGACCAAGATCTTCTTCCAGGGGCGGTGGGTGCGGGGCTGACCTTGCGAGATGGCTTCACGGAGCTTGCGCTCGAGGTCGCGCATGTCGTTGTGCTTGAACATTGTAACCATGGCACCGGAGAGACGAGCGCCGAATCGGATGGAAGAGTGGTTGAGTTCGTCGGAGATCATGAGGCAGCCCTTTCCAACAATGGTGGGGAATGTGGTAGCGTTCGTAACGAAACCCATAGAGAAGACCATTGAAGCTGGCTTGCCGACGAACTTGGCGATGAGGTCCTCAACCTCGACAGTGAGGTCTGAAGTACCGCTGTCTGATCGGGGACTGGCCATTGAGATTCCGTATTTCCTGATGGTAGCTTCGGCGGCGTCTGCGCAGGGACCTTCTGATTGAGCAAATCCGAGGTAGTTGTAGGAGCTCATGTTGAGGGTTTCCGTGGTGGTACCGAGCATCTTGAAGGTGTTGTTGCCGTCGTCTGACTTGCGGTCAAGCACGGTGATGAAGCGTCCAGGAACGCCGGTTGTCGGTCGCGAGAAGCAGTCGTTGATGCGCATCTTCAACCGTCTCGTGTAGAAGTTGTCGAAGTCGCTGTTGAGGGGTGCATATCCGTCCTTCTCCTGCAGATGGCTGTAGTGTTGCTTCCTGAAGCGCTTGCCGAAGAAGTCGCGAACATGTCCGAATACTATTAGGATTAAGTAGCTGATGTATGTGGTGAAAAGGAAATAATATGGCGGCTCGTCCTCAATGGGGTCGCCGAACTCGCCCTCGAACTTGCTGAGGTAGCGGTGCTTCTGGGAGCCAAGGGGACCGAATTGGGCGTGTGCTCGTGCGAGGCGGCGCTGCTCCTCTGGCGAAGGCGGCTGGAAGAGGGTCTTTGGCTCCGTGGGCATCTTCTCGCCGGTCGCGGTGGTCAGGTTGATGGTCGGGAGGGAGATTTGCGACGGTGAGGGGTTGTTGAGCAGGGCCTGTTGCTGGGCAACGAATGCCTCACGCAGGAGAGCGGCGTCGGTCCGGGACTTGGGGGAGCCACCGAAGAGGGATGTGAACTTGTTGCCCTTTGCGAAGGATTGTCGACGCGCTGGCTCGCGCTTCTCGGCGGAGGGATCGAGGGGGGGAGCAGGGGCGGTGGATGCGAACGGGTTGATGCTTCGGACAGGCATTGCAGCAATTGCTCTCGGACGGCGGTATTAGAGTAGGCAGGGCAGACGCAGGGAGATGTAGGCTCGAGTATCGTCCCACGTTGGAGCTGGCGGTGAAGAATGCAGGAGGTCGCGGGAGGAGCTAGACGGGAAAGAGATCAGCAGGCGACTCGAGGAAGAATTGGCAGCACTGCGTGAGGATGTCGGCGAGCAACGGCTGGGACAGTGGTGGGTGAAAGGCAGTCTTAGTAGTAGTAGGACTGACGCGCTCATGCACCCGGAGCGTGGACAAAGCCGGGGAGCGGCAGTGCCGGATAGCGTGCAGGAGATAGACGAAAGTTGGGAAAGAGATTGGAGGCTGGGATTGGGCAGGTGCAGCGGGAGGCCGCGGACGCTTGGAGGAAAAGGACCTACGTGATGCGAGCGGTGCAATAAACAGAGGCTTGACTGGTACTGCGGAGTACGTGAAGGGCTGTCGCAACGCTTTTCGTGTTCCTGAGTGGCGCGGCCGTTTGCTGCGAACCACCAAGCTTCTGCGCCGCCGGTCGTGACGTAGAGATGCCGTGAAAGTCCTGGCACGATCAACACCAACGGGCAAGTAATGAGTGACAAGATGTGGGTGTGGAGCGAGAGAAGAAAGCTGGCACTTCACTTATCAGCGTCGAGGCAAGGGGTGGTGCAGTCGAAAAGCAGCGGCGAGCTGGTTGGCCCGACGAAACGTGAAATGAGCAGCCCCATTGTCCCGTTCGGCACCACGCCGCTTGGGGCACAACGTCAGGGGAACTCGATGCCGATCGCTGCCACTTCGCCCTCAAATCGCCCTCCTCGCCTGCCGAGCATCGCAAGCCTTGCCAGACTAGACCCGTACCTCGTCCGAGCCTGAAAAGCCTTGCGACTCGGGCCATAATCGCGCGGGCCCAGAGCTTGTCTGCGATGTGCCTGCGCGCCTGCGATGCCAACGGGCCTCGCCGCACGTCATCGACTACATCAAATTTCTTAACCCAGTTCTTGCGCAACGTTCGGTCTGACAAGCCTGACATAATCACCGCATGCTCTGTCATCCACGCATGGCTGTTGCTGTCTGCTGTCTGCTGTTAGCCACGACGTGCTCGCCCACTGATGTCCACCTCTTGGCATGCTGTAAGCGTTGCGGCACTCACACCACCACGCATAGTCGACGATCTTATTGCAGTGCTATTTCCTTTTCCAGCCTCGCCTACACCATCGACTAGCACATAAGCACATGCGGCCACATATTTGAAGACGTCGTGCCGCCGTTGCGCAGCAGTCACCACGCGACAATTACACTTCTTACCAACGCCTGTGTAGCATGAAATAACATGTTACAGCCTTCCAGCAAATGATTGGCCCACCGGATTTTGTAATCATCGTGTGGAGGTTCAACGGGCTGGCCCGAGACCACTCTCATTAATGCGCTGTCAAATGGGCTGTGTAGCCCTTCCTAGTGCGAGGATTCGCTGTAAATTACGATGGACTTTCATCTCGCAACCGCAGATACGAGACAACCTGTCCATCGTAATTTCACTCTGCTATAACATGGCACTTCCCCGCTGCCTGACAGCTCCATACACCTCCGCATAGCACATTGCTGGCACCATCCCAGGTCGGTTGAAGTAATGTAATGTATTTGCTTACTGATCTCGAAGAACAGCTGTTTACCGGAGACCCCTTTGAAAGCTACATACTCAAGCACGCGCAGCGGCTCTGTAATCCACCACAACCCCCGCAGCTCAAGATCTCCTTAAAATGGCAATCCCTCCACCTGCCAGCGGAGCCCGACAAGAGAAAATTCCGAGATGCACGCAACATATGAAACAATGGCTAGCTCGCAACAGAAAAAGAAGAGATGATGAACAATGAAAAGAACAATCCAAAAGGAAAAAAGACGACCAGCATATGCCGCTGACGTCTGCCAACACCAGCGCAGGTTCCACCAGTCCGCCATTTCTCTGTATAGTTCCAAGCCTACCCAATCCTGAGCAACGCCGTGTTCAATAACCAGTCCCTGTATGGTGGTCGTTCAACCTGCGTTACGAAAAGTAGTGATGGAAAGTAATAGAAGGGTGGCTTCCTAAAAGCGACGGGAAGACCCCATGGCTTGGTAGATTCAAGGATTTGAGACGGATATGTGAGAGATGACGACCACATTAAGTATGAGCGATAATGGAGAGCAAGAGCTGCAACTGCCCTGCCACTGTTCCAAGCGGCAGGGCGTGCGCATCGAGCTTCCTCGTAGGAAAGCAACCGCGACCGGGTATAAGAGCACGCGAAAGAATAATTGACAAACAGACAGTAGTGTGCGGGCTGCTCATTGCATCTGGTGATGCTCCGGTGACATGCTTGATGGGTCTAATGAGCCGAATGACACCAGGTTCTGCATGTCCAAGTCGTCGACGTTGTCATCCATCATCGGCGACCGGAACGGCATGTTGAGATTTTGCTTGGCGTACATGTCTGTCATCTGCAGCGCCTCGTCGGACATGCCGTTGTCGTGCGACATTGGGTACACATCATTGTGGTTGTCACGACCGAAAGAACCCAGTGGTGGTGACTGGTTAGCAATGATAGGGTCAGGGTGGTTCATCGTCGGCATAGGTGAGTGGTGAGATGCAGAAGGTGGCGGGCCCATTGGTGTATGTACATAGGGAGGAATGTTGTACTGGCCATAGTTGGATGCCGGGATGTTGTCGTTTGATGGGCCCGATGTGAAAAAGGAAGGCGTGCCGTACTCCGAAGGTGAGTTGGCGGTAGTGGCGGACATGGGGTACTGTCGGTAGTCCATGCCGTACCCTGCAGAAGTGTCGATGCTCAGGTGAGGGCCAATGGGTCCTGCACTCTGGGGCGTCGGCGCAAAGATCTCAGGGTTAGGAACATACGGCGACGGCTCTTGTTGGATCAAGAAAGATGGCATCGGGTTGCGAAGCATAGAAAAGTCCATCGCAACAGGCACTGAACGACTTCGCTGGCGCTTGTGACCACGCGGTTGGAAGGGTTGAGGTGCAAGATGCGTCTCCTGAAACATGCCCATGTGATGCGGGTGCTGGAGGTGGTTTGGTTGGGACGCGGGCCGGTGGTTGATGGGCGAGACCGGTGCCGAGACGGCGAATGTGTTTGGGTCGAACATGTTGTGTCGGTTCTGAAACGACTCTAGTGAGACAAGTTTCGCCAACTGACCGCTCAGTACCTTCGGGTGACCACCCAAATGGTGCAACATAATGTTTGATGCTTGCTGGTCCTCGGTAAAGTCGCCGCATTGGAAAAATCCTCCCGAACCGGAAGAGTCCATGAAAAAGTTCGGAGGGCGGTTGAGCTCGACAATCAGGCCTCCGGGGCGTTGCGACGCACCCTCGGCGTTTGCGGTCATGTCGCCATTCTCCAGTGAAATGTTCTTGATGTATGAGAATGGGTACTCAATCTTGTATCCTGCAGAGTCGTTGTTGATGTAGTAGGTGATGCAGCACTTCTCGGGTGAGTAGAATACCACAAGGTCCATGGCGCTCTGTCCAACACGTCTCCAGCTACCGATGCTGAGGGAGCGGCAAGCGAAGTGGTGGATGACAACCTTGGAGTTGTTGGCGTCGGTGTTGAGGAGCATGCCACTTCCGTATGGCATACCGCCTGCGCGTCCGAGGAAACTAGTGCCGATTGACTTGCCAGACTCCATGGCCTGGAGGGCAAGGTATCGTCGCATGGACTCTGGGATATCATTGCAGTCATCACCGTTCTCGATGCTCTTCTTGGCAATGTTCTTGATCTTGGCACGTCTATGCTAATGTCAGTACTGCGCACAAGCATCATGCTGCTCGCTTTTCCTACCTGTTCTGGAACCAGATCTGGACTGAGCGCTCGGTCATGTTGATTTCCGAGGCAATTCTTTCGCGGGTAGCAGCAGTGGGCGTAGGGTTCTTGTTGAACTCCACTTCGAGTGTCACCAGTTGGTCTTGAGTAGCCCTCTGTCTCTTCTGGTTGCGCTGCTGCTGGGTGAGGGTGCTCTTGCGCGGGGGTCGGCGCGGGGCAGAGCCCTGCGTCGGGGTAGAGGATGACGCCGGTGGAGATGGCGTAGGCGAGACCATTGCGTCGTCGTTTGACTGCATGTTGGGTGGTAGGGATAATCGGAGCGCGAGAGTTGGACTCGATTCGAAGCGGGGTCGGAGATATAGAGGGAGCAATCGAGCTAACACCTCAGTCTATCTTGGTTCGTAAAGTGTCGTGAAGTAATGGTTCAAGCAATGGTGGTGGGTGAAGATAGTGGAGCTATGCGAAGCTGGTAAGAGTTCAATGTCACGGGAGAAAGAATCCACGTGTGTGAGAAGCTCGAGACACCGTCCAGGCGCGTGTGAGAAGGGTCAAGGGTGAAGGAAGCTGCTGACCGGGGAGCAGATGGATCGTCCGAAAGCGAGTCCAAGTCGACAAGAGTGAAGGAAGAGGTGCTAAGGAGCGGACAGACAAAGCCTAAAGGAGGGTTGTGAAGAAAGGAACGTGGGCAAAGGCCGAAAGGAGTGGCGGCACTTCGCAGAAGTCGACAGAGAAAGAGAAAGATGTAGGTACCACACCGACAGCAAAGGTGACGATAGGAATCCGGATAGAGGAGCAGGGCCTTGGATGTAAATGAGCGACCGTGGTTGGGAAAGGGGAGATTAAGGGAAGGGGCATTGAAGCCGGGGGGAAGGTGCGCGCCGGCTAGCTTAGGCTGGGCAGGGCGCTAGCTGGCCAGAGAGACGGTTTTAGCCCAACGGCACCACCGCTCGACGCCCGCCCTGGAGGCGCGAGACCAGTGGTGACGCACCAAAACGCTTATGTTCTGAAGCAAACCATGCTCGTCGCAACACTCTGACCGGATGTTCCTCCGCTCTACACCACGACACAACAGCACCAGCATCCGACGGTGCGCGTGCGGCGTCCTCTCTGCCCGCCTGCACGCGCTGCCCGCAATAGCTCCGATCAGGGGGACTACTGCGAGGTACCTCGGAGTCGCGCCACTAGAGACGTGACAGCAAGGG